CCCAGTGAAGACTAACTTTAATTTGTAAAGGGTGAAAAGGTATTATACAATTCTCGACTTGAGCTTTTTCAATCTTCATGGTTCCTAAAGGCCAAAAGCTGGGACAAAATTCAGCAGTGATTTTCCTCTTCCCCAGCCCAGACACCCAAAGCCCTGTATCTTTCCTCATCGGCTTTTCAAACAGACACTACCTCCAAGTTGGAGCAAGGGAAAGAGTATAAAAAGAATTTCCCATTGCGTGTGTCCAGGTGGGAACCAGACACAGGGTCAGTACTGTCTGTGTAGAAGGTTTGTTTCAAAAAATCCCATAGAAGATGCCAGATTTTTCTCTATCTCCATCTTCTGGTGGACTATATACAAGACGGCTTTTTCCATGTGTACTCTTCTATTGCTTGACCTAGTAGCACCCAGGCTACTAGGAGTAAACCTCATTCTCTCTCAGTTGGAATCACAGGAATCTGTGGGGCTATATTGCCCCTAAGGTTTTTGGGAACTGGGCTATAGTGCCACATTCCTTTTCCTAGGTTCACAAATGTAATTTCTCATGTCTTGCTGACACAGACTATTCTAGCAAGTTTCTTGTCTTTAGAAATTCCTAGAAATATAAATACTAATCTGTATTTCAGCAAACATGTGTCTAGTACTAAGGAAGGTGGAAAGAATTCTCTATTTCTTTGCCAAGGATTGCAAAGTTGGGTTGAGATTCTATAGGTTCCGCATAGATGATCTTATTTTGGAATATGCAGGTATTTGACATCCAAAATCTTATATATTGGAGACAAAACCCAAGATTAAAAGTTCTGTTTAATGCCCAGTTGTACTGTTGGCCAAGGAGTGGGAACCTGTGGCTTTGGGGCTACATGTGGCCTTCTAGATCCTTGAGTGTTGACTTTTGACTGAATCCAAATTTTACAGAACAAATCCCTTTATAATAAAAGGATTCAGTTGAGGCTGCCATGGGGATCCAGAGGCCACATGTGGCCTTGAGGCCGCAAGTTCCCCACTGGTACTAATGTTTAATCTCAGCCTTTTGAAACTTTCTCGATGCAGGTTATGGGTCCATAGTTGAAAACAAATCCACATATATTTTGCATACATTTTTGTTAGCTTATTTCTTATTCCAGCTCCAACATTTTTTGTGGATGTCTTATTTGCTTTCTTCCAGACCTGGCAACTACACTTAGAAGAAGAGAATCACTTCAAGGAGAGCAATTTTGATGATGAACCGATCTCATGGAGTGAAGATAGAAAAGTTGACAAGGGATGATCCTTTGGTTATCTTCATGTGAGAAATCCATGATTGTAAGGACCAATTGGGAAGCATCAAGAAAACAAGAAAGACTTTTTGCAGGAATAATTCACTCAAAGGAAAGCTGTTATTCTATGAGAGAGTCTGCAAAGCAAAGAACTTGAGAAGAGTGGTCTGATTCCAGTCTTCTTTCATTCCCAATGATACCATAAGAAACCATTTTCATAAACATGTGTCACATGGTAAAAAATTGCATCATAATTCTGTTGTAAACAGCCATCAGGAAGATTAGATGATAGTAGAAACTATGTGAAAATAATGAATGTGGAAAACCCCTCAGAGCATTCACCTTATTCAGTTTACAAGAACTCAAAAAAGATAAATCCTATGGATTTAGTGACAGTATTCAATCTTTTAGCCATGGTACACCTTAAACATACATGAAAAATTCATGCTAGAAAGAACCCTTTATTTTAATGAATGTGGCAAGTTTTGAACCACAGTATCCATAGTGAACAAGAGAAATTCCTGTTAAAGAGAGTCGATATAAGTAGTAAAACCCCTCAGAGTTCTCTTGCTCAAACATGAGAATCATTCAGAAGGAGAAACCTTTTGGATGTAATCAATGTGGAAAATCTTTCAGTTGGACTCACATCTTGTTGCACATCAGAGAACTCATACAGGGGAGAAACCTTATGAATGTAGTGAATTGTGGAAATCTTTCAGCCGGAGCTCGCAGCTTGTTTCCATCAGAGAACCATACTGGAGAGAAACCTTATAGGTATAATCAATGTGGAAGATCCTTTACGCAGATTATGTCCTTGTTGTGGCATCAGAGAACTCATACTGGGGAGAGAAGCCTTATGAATGCAATCAGTGTGGAAATCATTCAGAGCAGAGCTCCACAAACTTATTGCACATCAACGACTCATACTGGAGAGAAGCCCTGTATGAATGCAGCCAATGTGGAAATCATTTATCCAGAGCTATAAACTCATTGCACATCAAAGAATTCATACTGGAGAAAACCGTATGAATGCAATCTGTGTGGAAATCCTTTAGTCAAGTTACAAACTTGTTGCTCATCAGCGAACTCACACTGGAGAAACCCTGTGAAGTGTAATCAGTGTGGAAAATCCTTCAGTGTGAGCTCTCAGCTTGTCGCACATCAAAGAACTCACACTGGGAGAAACCTATGAACTGGTAACGAGTGGTGGAAATCTTTCGAACGCCAGTCTCACCTTGTTATGACTCAGATGACTCGATACTGAGAGAAAACCCTATGAATGTATCAGTGTGGGAAATCCTTCGCCAAGTTTGTTCTTGTTGTACATCAGAGACAGCATACTGGAGAAAGCCGTATGAATGCATCAATGTGGAAATCCTTCAGGCAGAGTTCATATGCCTACTCAATCAGAGGACTCATACTGGAGAGAACCTATGAATGCAATCAGTGTGAAAACATTCAGCTTGAGTGCTCGACTTATTGTACATCAAAGAACTCATACAGGAGGAGAACTTTTACATTAATCAGTGTGGGAAAGCGTTCATTAATAGCTCTAAACTTATAGGCATCAGTCTACTCACACTGAAGAGAAACGTTATGAAATGTAACTAGTTTGGAAATCTTCAGCCAGAGTTTATTCTTTCTTAATTCTTTTAAAAATTCATTTAAGGGAATAAATTTTTCATGTAGTGGAGAAGAGCTAGTATAAAAAAATATGTAGGAAACTTCCATACTCGTTGTTGTATTATATATCGGGGAAATTCATTCTGAAGAAAAGGGGAAGTCTATGATCTCTTCCTCGGCCTCCCAAGAGCTAGGATTACAGGCGTGAGCCACAGCGCCCGGCCTTATTTTCAGTATTTTAAATTAGCGCTTTTCCACATCCACTTGTTCTTGCAATGTCTTTGTTCAAGCCTTGTACTCATTTTCATCTGTTCTTTTTGCATAAGAAGTGTTTCCTGGAACAGCCATATTCCAGGCTCTTATTATGTTAGAAGTATTTTAGCCTTGGCTCCTTTCTAGTCAGCAGTGAAGTTAGCTGCTGGCAGAGTCTAGCATTGTTTACTGTGCCGTGGAGCTGACTGCTTCATGCAAATACATTTTTCTCCCTGTCATTCTTGGTCTTTTCTGGTTCTCAGAGCCAGAATGACTCCAGGAAATATTATCCACTTGGTTCTCCCCATTCTGTCCGCAGGTAAGAGGTGTGCTCCTCACTTCAGAGAAATATACCTGCTGAGGACACTTTCCATTTCTTCCTACACTTTTGCTCAGTCTTTATTGCTTTTCTACTCTTTTTGCCTTATTTTGTGATTTTTGTTTCAGCTTACTCCTAGACTTAACAAAGATAAATGTGCTTTTATTCACTTTTTTTGGGAGACTTCAGCTAGGTGGGAGAAATCTAGACTTTTTGGTGCTGTTTTCAGATATACCTTTTGTCTTTTTAAATTTCGTATGGATTTTGTACATAATCAATATCATCTATACTGTATGTCATTTTTCTTTTTTTGAGATAGGGCCCCGCTGTATCACCCAGGCTAGTCTCAAACTCCTGGGTTCAAGCAAAACTCCTGCCTCAGCCTCCTGAGTTCCTGGGATTACAAGCATGAGACACCATGCTTGGTGCTGTATGTCTTTTTTTTTTTTTTTTTTTTGAGACAGAGTCTCACTTTGTTGTCCAGGCTAGAGTGAGTGCCGTGGCGTCAGCCTAGCTCACAGCAACCTCAATCTCCTGGGCTTGAGTGATCCTTCTGCCTCAGCCTCCCGAGTAGCTGGGACTACAGGCATGCGCCACCATGCCCGGCTAATTTTTTTTATATATATATCAGTTGGCCAATTAATTTCTTTCTATTTATAGTAGAGACGGGGTCTCGCTCTTGCTCAGGCTGGTTTTGAACTCCTGACCTTGAGCAATCCGCCCGCCTCGGCCTCCCAAGAGCTAGGATTACAGGCGTGAGCCACAGCGCCCGGCCTGTATGTCTTATTTAATGTGCTTGATAAAACCAGTTAATCTTATCTAGGCCTTTAGAATTTTCTATTTAAAAATCAGTATTTTTCTAGTTTGTTGATAGAGGTTGCACATAGACTCAGTTTCACTTAAAAAGACTGCAAAGCATGTTCACTGTGCACTGGTTACCAACTTGTCTGAGTGTGGTGAGACAAAACACACACACAACGAATTACATGAAACAGGCTAATTACTTACAGATGAGTGGCAAGGGACACTGGAAGCCTGAGATTCATCATAAGCCAGTACCCCAAGGCTCAGGAAAGCTACCTGGGGTGAATGGAGTCTTGTTTGTGTGTGCTCTGCTTGCGGCTCAGGGAC